ACCAACTGATGCTATCTGCAGTGCGTTGCGAGAAAACGAGTATCCGAAAAGCTTCCCCCTCTCCAAAAAAGAAGACAGCCTCCTGGCCCTAATACCCAAGTTTCGTAGCCACACAGAGCTGTAGACTATTGCACGTGGTACCAAATTCATTCGACGATGCATAACTAAGGATCTAGTTCAACACCAGACCTCACTTACGATTGGGAGCCAGAGATAGTCTAGCGAGAGATTCTCTTCCGTTTTGTGTGCACTCTTATTCATGTTCCTGTGAGGCGGATTAAGTGGGAAGAAGCACAAGTCGTCCGCCTGAGTGAATCGAAAAGCACTGTTCCAGATGAATAACGTACCGAATGCAAAACTGCGTAATCAGTACGATCTTGGTCTATCAAATTGATAGGGGGCACAAGCTAACATGAGATTGAGCTTTCAAGTTCATCGAGGCAGTGTCAGAAAGTTGTTCTCAAGTAGTCAAATATCGAATCCCATTCACAGGCTGATGATTGTGATCACATTATCCCGACCGTTCCCATGATAACAACAGCAATGTATCAAAGCGTCGTTTCTCTTTGTCATGGAACTAAAGCTATCTTAGCGTGACGATTAACATACATTCAGAAGGGAGAACTTGCCTGAAATTAGTTTGTGAAGCATACTAAATCATTTCTGTGCATCCGTTGTTCAGATGTCGTCAGTTTAAGCAAACTAGTTCCCTTGCTATACAAACAAATGTGCTCACCAAGTGGATCAGATGTTCCTGTCACAAACGGTGATGGAAGGGAAATGATAAATTTTTATTGTGTTACTCGGGACCCTTATTGCATTCGAGTTAGCGAACATAAGAGAAAACTATGAAAAATTTACTCCGTGTCCTCTGCCACGAGTGATATTATGTTTAAGTGAACTTTGGAAGTGTAACGGCACTGGACGGTGCACATAAGTTCTAGAGACGCCATTTCTTTGTGGAAGTCCGTCACAGGGAGGCCAAAGATTAGTCGCGGATACAGAAAGTGTAGAAACGATAGTGTGTAACATTAAGCAGGTGTAGTTTTTACTCGTGCTTATCATGCTGACGTTATATATATATATATATATATATATATATATATATATATATATATAAATATATATATATATATATATATATATATATATAAGCGTCGATCCATTCGAAACGCGTGCCATAGGATGTTCATGTGTGCTTTTGTTCTCGTTCATGATATCATAAAGATAAAACTTCACAAGTTTGCATAGACACAACAAATATCAGTTGATGGCGAGGCTCAGAGTTAATAACCCGTGTAACTAGCTTCAATGCGGCGCGTATGCATGCTACAATTGAGATGGAACCCTGTTTTTACTGCCACCAGTCTGTCACAATCATGACGGAATATGCACCTAAAAGCACAAACGGAACTAAATGTACTCACATTGAAATCTTTCATGTTGAGGTAGAAAAAGAAACGTTCTAATACAAGAATGGTCCATGGGTTTGTCTTCATTTTTCCTTATTTGTCATGGTCTTTTCCGCACACAGTCTACCAGTTTAGCAGTAAAAATATCCTATAACTCAAGCTTCATCACAGGTACCATTTTTGACACCAGTAAAAAAGCGCTGGAAGCCCACAGACTTCTCTGTCCAGAACATAGAAAATGTTTCCCAATACTTGTGGAGCTGGGTTGTTAGGAACGAATCTGAGGGTGAAAAATGAACGGACAAATTGTTTTGCCCCGCATATAGTGATGAACCACTTGTGAAAAATGGCGTTGGGCGTGACATTAAAAAATCTTCACCTACCCATATGTATGCTTCCGTTGATTTCGGGTGATTTTTCAGTCAAAACGGGGGAAATTTTCCGATCATCTAAGGCGCCTCCTAACGAAGTCACCAACAAGGCTGACTATGATTCATTCTGATACCAATCAGTGACTGTGGTCGATGCTTTACTTTGCTTCACGGTGGGATAATGCGTTGGAATAATTCTCTTTACTACAAATGGTTTTTCCCATCCTCACACGATCTATCACACATTAAATGTACAGATGAAGAGTGAACTTTGCGTTAAAATGACAACCTCTATGGTGTGAATCCTCTGATGAAATCAGAGCGTGCCATTCACGGTCAAGTGTTTAGTTCAGCCTTCATATCACATGATACTGGCCGCATTTGAAATTATCACTTTCTCAATTGCAACAAGAGGGATGAATGACCAGAAATATTTTCATGCTAAATTGGAGACTGTCATTTAGGCTACAAAATGTATCGAACCAACAACGTTAAAATTGACCTCCCTTCCACCTCCCGGGTCTCCGGTCTATGAATTATGTATTTTCTGGAGCTTTTCAGCTAATTATTCCATGATTTCCGCTTCTTTCTATGCGGTAGCGTTTAGCATTTTCACTGCAGAGAATTACTACAAACCCTAGTTGGGCCAATTCCCAGAGTTGCCGAAATATTAGGCTTGACCATGCCATATCTTCGCCATTTCAGAGATCATTTAGGTGATTCCCCGTTAGACTGACTGCCTTGTGTACTCAAACTTTCACGGGCGAACATTCGGTCACTCGATCAACCTTGCATTCTGAAGCACCACATTAGAGTTGAGTTAGTGCTTTACAATTGCTCTTATTCCCTCCCGTCCGGGCTGATCTGATTCGTCAAGTTACTTCCGTTCAGGTGTCGACCTCCATGGCAGCCAACAATCCCCAACAGCTTCAAAGGGTTTCTGTCTCGTTTACTCTAAAATAATGCCTCGAAGCAAATCAGGTGCTCTCCTCGATATGTACATAGTGCAATAAGGAATGCTGTGGCGAGGGTAAGGCGTGAACATCAAGGCGAACGAACGAACCAAACAAGGGCCACAGACAAAAGAACAGGTGGCGAATACGTTGGAAACGTCCCGAAGCAGGCAAAAAGAAGCATACAGACGACCAGAGAGTAAGCAGCGGGATCTCCGGCAACCAGCAAGATACCTCAGGTGATGAGCTGCCGATCGAGCCGTCAACTGAGACAGTCGGACCAACCGAAGGGAAATGACGGGCAAGAGAAACAAGCCATCGGCCACAGGCAAAAGGACAGAAAGCAGCCGAAGCGCTCAAGCAGCGGCAATAGCAATCTTAATGCCGCGCAGTCTGGAAAAAGGCCTATACAAGCGACTGTATGTGTGCCATGACTGGACTTGTGTGACCGTGGGAATACAAGTATCCTGCCGTGTGTTGTCGTCCTTGTTACAATAGTAATCATACGTAACCCTGCTTAGCAGTAGGTATATATAAATAAATCTAAATAAATAGGATATGTATATATATATTTTACATGTTTATACAATATACATAAAAATATAAAATCTTGTACTTGCAAATGGCATGTCAGACTGACGATACTTGGCTTTGAACTCGAATTTTCAGGCAAAGTATCATCTATCGCGAACACTGTTGGCAGGTAATTGCGATGTCTATATATATATATATATATATATATATATATATATATATATATATATATATATATATATATCAGCTTCCTTTCTACCCCAAACGTTTTTGGGGTTTCCAATTTAATTCGCATCATCTTCGCAACTAGCCGGTCCGGATAGCCGTTTTGGATGATGGTTGTTCAAACCGCTTGCAGCTCTTTTCCAACGGTGCCCTCCGAACATATTCTTCTTGCCCCGTTTGTGAGGCAGCAAATTAGATTCCTTCTAATCTTTAGAGGCACAAAGCTGCGGAAGTGAATATACTGCCGATTTCACGTTGGCTTTCTGTTTACCGACCATCTCATTGAGCCGTTTTCAAGGCGATTTATCCGAACTTCAAGGAAGATGATTGTATTGTTTGACTCTGTTTCTATTGTGAAATGTAAGTTTGTTTGAGCTGAGGTAAATCTCTCTAACAGTTGGCCTACGTGGTCTGATGAATTATTACCACAGAAAATGTCATGTATACAACACAGTTTCGGATTGTGGATGGAAGTGGGCCCTTTTCTAACTTTGCATTAAAGACATCCGCAAGTATGGTCCGAACGGGAGTCTATTGCTACCCAATCATTTTGACGTTAGATCTGGTTGTTAAATTTAAACTCAATGTTGTATGTGCAGAAAAACAGCAACTGTTTCAGATCTTCTATGGGTATGCCTATATCAATTGTGTTCTTTTCAATAGGTAATCGATGGTTTCACCTATTGAGACGCTGGTAAAACGTGAACTGATGTCTAGTGAAAGATTCCGACATTATTTCATGTTTGGATCTTTCACGCAGTTTACGAATTCAATTGTGTCTTTAAGGCTATACTTCGACGTTGTCCGTCTCACCGGTTCCAGTAACCTTGCAAACCATTTAGCCACAGCATGGCATTGTGAAGTACACATGTCGAGGATAGGTCTTAATGGGACTCCACTCTTATGTGTTTTCGGTAACCCGTACAATCTAGGAATGGTTGTTCCCGTAGGGCATATCCGTTCAAATGTGGCTGAGTCTATCATATCTCGTTGCTCCATACGTCACAGCAAGTTGGATAGTGACTTCTCTACTTGTTGTGTCGCAAATTTAGATGCGTTAATCAAAATGGTGTCCATTTTCTCAATATAGTCTGACCTGTTGAGAAGCACTATACCTGTTCCCTTGTCGGGCTTCAATATGCTGATGTCACTATTCTTTTTCATTTCCCTTAATCGTTGCACATGAACTATACTCAGTAATACACTTGGTGACGGCTAGGTGTGTGGTATTGATAAATTTATTCACTAATGGGGATTTAAGGTTCTGTAATTCCAGCTGTGACGATGGGAGTAAACCCGACGGTTGAGCATAAATGTTCTCAAATTCCACATACAGACCTAGTTGTTTGCTCTGGTTGCTTGGACAGCAAAATTGTGTTCCCAAGGATAAAACTTCTAACAGAGTGTTGTCTAGTTGGAGGTCAAATAAATTGTGAACATTGATATCGATTAAATGACCAATCAAAGCATACTGCTCATTTTGATCGTAAATCAAACCTTGAATATTACTTCACTAGTAATAAAAAGGAATTGTATTTGAACGAAGAATGCAAATGAAATGCCATGAGTACACTGGCTTCGTCCATGCCACAGGTTGGAATATATTCTACGCTTTTCCGACAGTCACTGAGATTGTAGGTATTACCCGTTGTATTCCAGTCCACTCGTTTGAAACGGAAGGTGCTTTCTTGCCACATACTTTTGATTCTGTAAAAGCTATACTTGAATATAACTGAGAGCGTATTTCTGTGTGATTGGTAATCTCCCCGCAGCTTTTTGCAACTAAAACATTGGAGCAACTTTGCTGCAAGCAAACAAAAGGTGGCTATGAAAAACGTTTTTCACATTTTTTGAGGTGATCAAATGTGAAAAGTCTTCAGCCTCGGCGGGATTCGAACCCACTCATGGTCACCACCCCCGGCGGGGCCTCGTAGCTCAGCTGACAGAGCACTCGCGGTACTAAAGCGAGGGTGGTGACCATGCGTGGGTTCGAATCCCGCCGAGGCTGGGGACTTTTCACGTTTGGATCCCCTCAAAACATTATCAAAATCTGCCAAACATCGATACATTGTTTTTCACATTGCCTTATTTCCTAAATTAGGCAGCAAGTGTGTGAGAATCAGTGGAATAGCACAGCATTTCAATCATATGATAGTGAATCATGAGTGCGCTTTAGGGCGATGCATGCCCCACTGAAAACTGATAAATTCACGTGAACTGACTATGCAAATCATTCGCAAGAAAATGGAATCCACGAGGGCATAAGTGCATGTCTCTGCTTGCACAGATAGAAGGGGGAAAATCAAGAGGAACCATCCCTTTTTTCTTGCTTTCAGTTCTGGAAAATATCTATGAGCCAGACAGGGGCTGTGTTCATTAGTTCCATTGTACGGAATTAGCAAAACTTACCATAGAGTTTCCGTATAGTTTCTGTGGACAAGTATTTGGTGATCAGAATAATGCAAATGAGGACCTACGAAAGGTCACAAATTCACATCGCCAAAATGTTTTCTTTTTTTTCGAAACGGCAACCTGCCCTACAAGATGGATATCAACTCGCGATCAATGATGAAGCTCTGGAAATAATTCAAACTATAAACTTACCATCTTGCATACAACGGGATTCTAAAAGACCATCGTGTTGGATAAGCCAAATTTCATTCTTCCATATTCATAAAAATGCGCTGATGCGAAAATCTGCTAACATCATGTTATAGAATTTGCATGGAAATGTTCGTGATCGCCACATCCTTTCTTGGATGCATTACTCAGTTATCATCTGCTGTACATCAGACCAATCCAAACTCAGTTTTAATCCAATGAAGAAATAATCATTGAGAGCCATTTATTCCACTGGGCTACTGACCATGAAGTCAGCCAATCACCACTCAGAAGAACACAAATTGTAGTAGCTCATCACGTGGTAGAGGGAATATGTAACAAGTATTGCTCGCATCAGTTGTAGAACAAACCGAACACGCAGAAGTGTGCACACAGTATGAGAAGACAGGCTTGATTGTGGGCTGTACGGTTCACTCGAAGCTGCCTGGTCCTAATCAGTTCAAGTGACATTCCGGAATTTCGAATAGACTCAATAAACCAACAGCAAGTGCTGTGATTGCTGGATAAAATCTGGCTACCTTATGCCACATACCCGTTTCAGTTTCCAACTGTTGAGGCTGCCAGTTTCGTAATCCAAATCAGGTATCATAACGGATGAAGCTGGTCAAATGTGACCTTCGTAAATAAAAGGCACACCATCACGGACATCTGCTTCCGGAAAAAAGAACACCTTAAGAATAACCGAAGATGTGCGTACAACCATTTATCACCAATGACCACCACACCAAATTACTAGTGTCTCATTCATGAGTTTCGGCACTACTGTGGAATCGTGATGGTCTTTGTGTATAACAGCTTCCTCTCATTTACCATGAAGGACAAAACAGGGGCTTTGGATGGCGTGAAGGAATTATAAGACCCAATAAAGTCATGTAAAAGATCTTGGAAATATTTTGGGATAAATATAAAATAACTTACCCAGCTCCAAAATCAGTTTCAACACTACGGGTATGACAAACAGAGATGGAATGAGCAAGGATAACAGAAAAAAATGCAATCAATGGTATACTATTTGTAATCTCACATCGACAGCACTACTGGGAACAACCCACATTCAGTAACAAGGGCTATCGGTCGATGGCTTGGTTCTTGGCAATAATACATCGTTTGTCTTGTAATTTGATGCTCTCAAACGGTAACAAACCGTCATCCGTCCAGCGATCGACACCCGCGATGGTCGTTTTCCGGCAATTGGAAACATGTTTTAGGAAGTGACTTAAAAAGCGCAGAATGTCAGATTGGGGGTTCCAGTTGTTGCGTGCGTCACTCACAATCGCACACGCCGAATTCAAGGAGTCTCGCAATTCATACAGATAAAAAATCCATATGATCAAGTTGTTGTTAATTTTGATCCCTCTTGTGACCATCACTGATCACAAAGTAAGGAAAACGATGAAAATTTTTACATATAGACAAAGTGAAGTTCTACTCGTGGAAGAAATTCGAACTTCTGTTTGTAGCCTACCCTACTGAATCTGACGAAGTACTGCAGGCCTACCGATATCTGAAACGAGTGGTAAGAAAGAATATATAAATCACGTGACTATTCGGTGGCCAAAATAGAGGCCGTCAATTATGCGATCACAAACATCATTGAATGTATGAAATACATGATCTGTGAGATGGGATAGGAAAGACGTAAGATGAGGTAGAATATTTCTGATAAAACCTCATGCTCACGGATTGTCACTTTCTTCTAAGAACCGGTAAAGCGCACAATCAGATAACCCACTGGTGCCTCAATATAAAAATATTCATATCGTGAAGTTTCACAAAACCTCAGAATGAGACCTCAAAAAGGTGAGAATTTAAGTTTGGGAACTTTCGAGTGAGAGAGACTTGGCGACTTTGTAATGCGCAAATGAATCATGTTCATTTCTTTAATTTCTTCGGAAAAGTGAAGGCAAAGCGAAACACTGCCATTTAAACACGCCATACCTGACCACAGTTACATCAAAGATATTTTAAGCTGGATGTCATGAAATTTGGATGTGGGGCAATTCCTGACAATCTTTCTCTGACTTTGTAATGCCAGTTCCTCATATACACCCACCAGGATAGTTATGATTCCCATTGGTGATGGGTTGTTTTCCTTGTTGTATGTGGTGGGTACCGAGGTGCAGAATCGACGAAGCACGTGACCAAGTTGACACCTAGTTCGTCTGCTGTTCGGTTCGAACTAACTCAGCCGTTGAAATTCATTCAGTTGACATTGTCCCAACAATATGTACACGTCATGCGTAAGTAGCATCATAATACCCATGCCGAATCTGATTTGGTCAACCATTCATAAACCACGAGTGGGCAGTGGTAAACAAATACCTGTTGGAACTGACACGGGTAACCTAGTGATGTTAATCTCCAACTAGTCACCTGTCCTGTATTGAGCAGGTTCTTTTTTTTAAATTTCAAGTTACGAGCCGAAAATGTGGTTTCTCGTCAAACTAACATGCTCATATTGATCTGATCTGTGAAAGGCTTCTAGTATTTTCCTGGTGTGAATAAATGAACAATTTGTCACATTTCTTCCTTCGGTTTATTTGATCTGAAACCACTTGTTCGCTCAAAAGTGGCAGTAGAACTCGGAGAAAAGCAGCGTGTATTCACATCACCCACCGTTGCATTGCACTATGTGGTGTGCACCCACATATTACTTGGACATTAGAAGCCTCTAGAACTAGCTATGCACGGCTTACCCATTTGACTATGAAACCAGTTGATCGTCTGATTGAGGTGCTTGCGCTTTGCTTGAATGCGTGGCAGTTCCTATTTGTAATGCCTGTATACGATCATAAAATCCCTTGTAAATTATCTGATCTACCAACCCAGAAGTCATAAGATTGAAAGAACAATTGGTTTCAGTGATATATGTGCCTGTCCAGCTGATCACACTGAGGATTTCACCTGTATTGCATATAAACAATGGACTTGCCCAGTTTTCCTAACAATCTGCTGTCTACATACAAGTTCAAACAAGACAGAGTGAAATGTAATAAACAGGAATGGCAGTCGTTGATGAATACTTTTATTCGAAAAATATTACCTGATGGCATGTGATACGGATTAGAGTATTACACTTCGATTTTGTGCAATCTTGACACTCTCATCCTAAAATGATTTGTCTCTTAACGCCAGTGCTGAAATGTTGAAGGTTTGAACTTTTCGTGAAAAAAAATTTGCTTTACTTATAAAACCAAGTAATCTATGAAATTGATAGACACTTTGATGGTCTTTGGTCAGAAACAACTATGAAGTTACCAATTACAATCAGCCTAATGTAAAATGGCTTCTGGTTTGTGCATTTGTAATTGATGTTTTAACAAAACATCAACCAGATTTCATCAGTAACAAGTCGCAGACCACGGGACATTTGCATGTGTGCTCACATATAATTGCTCAGCTCCAACTACGCACTGAATAATTGAAGTTTACAAAATTAGAGGGATGTATTTTCACATGGAACAGATTGACGACTTGATCCACTGTATCCTTCGGGTTTTGCATGCTCCAAATTCGTTTTTCCCATCCACGAAAAAGTGGACAAGATCCTGTCCAGACCGCGTTCTGAAACTGACTCATTAACTGATTCGGTGAAAAGTTGCATTCAATGTGAATAAAGGGTGGAGGGTTAAAAAATTTCATCCAGCACGTTTCAACTTCACCTGTTTGAAACCACGTACCTTACGCCTTGAATGAATTCATTCTGAGTTCATTATGGGTATCCTCTCACCGGATGGGGTTTTCACGACAAGCAAGCCTGAGTTATACATTTCAGATCCACCATTATGAAGCAAATTTTCTGAGACGATTTAATGAAGGCAACTGTTGTATATTATGTAATCTGCAAACGCTGATCTCTAACCATGCAGACCATTGGATCTAACAACGGCTGACAAGATTCTGCCAAATTGAAGTTAATAAGTTTAATTTCAAACTGTAAGTGAAATATAATTCGCCGAAAAACAGGACTTCCGTTTCCCATTTGCCAATGTTCTTGACTAGACTGGAACAATAACATCTCTTCTGTACATAAATCAGCAGAATTATAGATAGACAAATGACGTCAAATCTAACATACACAGTCTATTCTAGTCACATATTTGGAATTATTCTTCGAGTATTCCAAATCAGAATCATCCATTAGGGATAAACGGGACTAAGATATTTCAGATTGATCTGAATAGTAAACATCATTTGCTCCGGCATAGACACCACCCATGCTTCAAGGCCTCTTGTGTCAAGCCAGATAAACCACGAGACTTCGCCGAAGGATGATCGAAATTTGGTGAGGAATTCTATATTACAGCAGCACACATGATATCAGTTCTTGGGATGTGCCACACAGACAACCTAATTATCGGTAAATTCACTGAAAACGCTTGGCCTATGAATCATCTACTGTGCATCAGCTAAATTCATAGACGTACTGAGTTAAGTACATATTGGAAGAAATGTCAAATTCTGAACTGACTGAAATGTTACAGATCATCGGATTGTGTGAGCCATTCAGCCACTGAATTACAGGAAAAATCCATGAATAGATGTCTTCAGGTGTGCAGATGGGTGAGGGCTGACCTCAGGGAATTTTCGTCCGAAATTTTGAAGGCGGACGTTCCATTAGTGAAAAGCTTGCCACTCTCCTTTACACCTCAGGGAGTCGTCTGTCTTATTTCTCGCGTAATGCCAATGTGGTATAAATGAGAACTGATAAATGATAGGAAATACAACAATAACGGTTAAAGTTCAGCACAAGAGCAATGTGGTCAATAACCAGCATGTAGTTCAAAATGTGGGGTGAATTTCATGTATGATAGCTTACTTGGAATCGAAACAACGTAGCTTCTCATAGTTCAAGTCGCGTGGTCTCTGACAAGCAATCTAACAAATCACCTGACTAAATCACACCTTTCTATAAGTTTGATAAAACCGAACATTGGGTGTCAGATAGGTTCCATTGATTTACTTCGTACTGGACAAACTCCCTTGAATACCATTTCTTATGATTTTTGACAAATGCATCCAGTCTGATTCAACTGTAAGATTAAAATGTGGTACCGCAATTCATATTGTCTGATCAGGCTGATTTGGCGAAGACTAAAACATACGGACTCACCTCCATTTAAAAAAAATAAAATGACCCGTATGAATCTGCAAATTCACGAATTATATTCACCAGAATATTGCACACAGGAAACGAATAACTCAGTTCGCAAATGTCAATTAGACTTCTTGTGAAATTTGAGTGTATTTCATTCAGTAGTTTCTTACCACTTCTAAGAGGATCGTTGTTTTCATGTAACACGAGTGGATGTTCTTTTTAAATGCAAAGATTTCGCACGAAATTGCAAGTAAGAGTCCCGGACAATTGATTGCTCCAAGATGCGAACGCAAACCAGCGGTGGCAGAACTCCGGACTGGGCAGAATCGTCTGAAGTCCAACTGGTTGACTATCTGACCACCACATGATTAGTGTTTGCGACACAGTCAAGACAGTCCCTATAAAATTGACGTATTTTATACACATATATCTTCTTTTCCCAAACAGCACATGAATACTTATTTCTCAAATATCTTCCCACTGAGTTCAAACAAATGAATCAAAGTTATTTCCTGAGGCTCGTAATTAAATATGTATGAAGTTCGACTCAAATACGCGGTGATTACTACCCCTTCTGACTGGCTTCCAGCTCTCTGCAGTATAGACATATCCAAACAACCAATCGAATCCCTTCTAAACTACATAGAGATGTTATGCAGTCTTTATCGTTCCTCGAAGGAGTCTGACAGGCTGAAAGCATTGATTTGACAGATGCAACCATGAAGTAAACTTTGGGTTACCTTCGGTATGTAACAAAATCTGCCACGGACATTTTAACAGACAAGTTATTTTGTATTGTTGAACCTACATATATATGTTTTACTCTAATCTGTGGGTACACTTGAATAACAATCCTCTTTTGATCACTGATTAAACTACACGTTACCAGCATCAAGCCACAATATCAGAAAATCTAATTGTAGAATAAAACACCCCATGGAATCGATGTTCTATTGTCCATCATTCTCTATAACTTGGTAAATATGTTGATGGTGAAATGTGTTTATAAAATATAACTACTCTATATTTGGCCATGTGTGGGCAAATCATTGGAAAAAATTCCATTGACATGATTGGCAATGAGTAGAACGCAGTTTGTATCTCAATATGAACCCCAGGTGCATGTCTAAACATAAAGACCGTCGATCAATATTACAGGTTTTCAAAGGAAACTGTTTGTGGTAAATCGTTCCGAAATTCATACAGTTTTACTGAACATGTTCATAGGGTTTACTGAACGAAACCAGAAATAGCAAAAGAATATCCGAGTTAGTTTTGAACGAACCTTTGCATTCATTTGCTCAAACGCACCATTAGTGTTATGCTATATTTACAGTAAGATCAAGATTAGAGAGTTTTCATACTTTATGGAGCCATTCAAGGACATTCGGTTGAA